CGCTACCAGCTCATCATGACTTTTCACGACAGACCAGTGCTTCCTCCGCCCCTTATCATCTTCAGCCACATATACATTGTGTTGAAGCGCCTGTGCTGTCGCTGCAGGAAGAAACCGGAAGGGGAGCTGGATGAGAGAGACCGCGGACTGAGTTATTACTCCTGCTACTCATTTTTACTGCTTCAATACATCAGTGTTATAGCAACCTATTTTGAAACATATTTTTTATTTTTTCAGAGTTGACTCTGAGTCCAGAGGAACTGAAGAATCTGTATGAGTTTGAGGAACAGTGTGTGGAGGAGTACTTCAGAGAGAAGGAGGACGAGGCGCAGTCTTCCAACGATGAGCGAATCCGAATTACTTCCCAGAGGTAATGGATGAAAAACGGCAACTGCAAAATGCCATTACAGGGCTCAACAATATGGATTTTTTTCTGTGGTTCTGAATGATCAATTTTTATAGATAGCAATGCATTTTTGTTTATTAAATGTTAATTTTTTTTTTACTTATTCATTGTTTTCAACAAGATGCAAAATTCTCTTTGAATGTAACTCCATAAATTCACAAAAAGATAAAACTTGACTGTCTAGTATGTAGTTTTCAACAGAATGTGTTTTTGCATTCCACTGTGCTGCTTTCAAATAGATTCCCATTGAAGTAAATATGTGGTAAATATGGATTTCCATTGCACTCACGTCTGCTGTCTTCTAAAGCATCTCACTCATGGTGGTGCTCTAAAAATGCAGCGTTGAAACAAAGTCATGCAAAATGTCTACAGACACTGCAATGGTCACAATATGACATCAGACTCTGGGGTTTTTTTTTTTTTTTTTACTTCAACAGATAATACATTAAAAATGTAAAAAATGGAATCCACTCCACTCCAATTCTGCATATTTGTAGTTAGAATTCTTTAATCCAACTAAAAAAACACCAATCTTCTATTGATCACATGTCTAGAGTTAACCACATTTGAATATTGGAACGCAGCAAAATTCACATGAGCTTGCATTTCCTGTCTTCTGCATTCGCGTGCGCTAGAATGGAAGTCAGTGTAATGAAAATTGAAGTGTGACTACATTTTAAAAAACACATCTTGAGTTGTTTTTTTCCATCCGGGGGGTCCAAAAACTCAAGCAATAGAATGGGAAAAAATGTTTTACTTTAACTTATTTTAACTCACGGGTGCCGTTTTAAGAATGCCATCATGTGTGAGACACTGCAAAAGAATGCAGTGGAATGCAAAAAAATGCGTTCTTTGTGAACAGGTCCTTACTGATGCTTTCAAGACTTTCAACAAATCCACATCTATGTTAGCCAGCTAGATAACATTGTCAGAATGACAAATTAGCAGAATTTGCAACCACAATGTAGAATACATCACAGAAAACCAAACATTTAAGTTTAAAAGGCATAGAAAATTAATGCACAGGATCGATGAATATAAAAAGTTCAGAGGCCATGCATCACTGGCCTGAAAAAGCTGGTGACATTTCTGTCATCTGGTTGGAAACTCTTGCACACTGGCTTTGGGTCAGTGGGCCGTCCTTATTGTTGAGCCCTACATTTAGAATAACTTCTGAGGTTAAAACAAACAACAACCATTTGGAACAACTGTTGTCGCAGGGTTGAGAACATGTCCATGCGCCTAGAGGAGGTGAATGAACGAGAGCACTCCATGAAAGCCTCTCTGCAGACAGTAGACCTGCGCTTGGCTCAGCTAGAGGAGTTCTCCGGCCGCATGATGCATGCACTGGAGCGGCTGGCTGGCATCGACTGCTGCGAGCTGGTCCACGCTCGATCTGGGAGCTTAATGGCTGTGGACCAATCCGGCCTGCTTCGCCGTGGTAGCATCAACAGCGCTGATGGCTACAGTTTGTACCGCTGGCACCTGGATGCAGAGGACCGCAGTGAGGAGATGTCAGGGGACAGAAAGGGCCATGCAGAGAGACGCAGCAGTATTGGCAGCAGCGACCTCCTCCTAAGCCCACAACAAGTTTCTTCATATGGTCCCACGCTGAATGTGGTGCCCCTCCGGCAGAGGACATGCTCCAGCTCCAGTGTGGACATCCTCATCTCTCCTTGCGAGTCACAAGACAGAGGCCAGAACTCTCAGTCCCCAAAACTTGTCTCCGCTCAGCACCCTAAAGACCCACAAGCTCTGCTAGAAGCTGGAATAGACATAGTGGTTTCACATCCTCTGGAAAGGGCGCAATCCCTGAGGCAGTACCCAACTGAAGCTCAAATTAACTCACTTTCATACGAGAACAGATCCCAAAGTGGTACTTTGTATGTCTCGATGGCACAGTCGAGGTTGCGCAGTCCTGGCAATACGTGGGCTTCGGAGCCCCACGGCCTACAGGATCAAGCAAGCAGATCGGCAGCGTTAGGTCGCTGGCCTCCACGCTTCGATGACAAAGTTCATCCCTCCCCATTTGGACTTTCTTTAGAGAAATCAAGACAGAGAGAGGCCCAAGATGAAGAAGGAGATTCTAAGGAGAGCAAGAGGACAAAAACGCAACAAGGGGAAAGTGAGGAGGAGAAGAAGAAAGACGAGGATGAGATGGTGGCAAATAGCAAAAGCGCCAAAACAGAGGGAGGAGAAGAAGAGCGAGAGGAGCTGACAGACTCAGATCACTTGTATGTAGCAGAGGACAGGATGTATCCCTCACTCAGATCTAAAAGTCTTAACACTAACCCACGAAAGGTGAAGGCCGTAGGGAACATCCTGGATAAACCTCGATCAGCCAGTAGTGTGAAAGACCTGGCTGGGGCCTTTGAAGTCAACACCAATGACTACAGACCCTCCAGAGAGAGGACAGACACACAGACATGAGTGCTCACACTGGAATTTTATCTGCCGTGGCAAGATAATCGCAGTAGTGCTAGCTTAAAGAAGTTGATTTTCATTGTCTTCCAATATGGAAAACACATCTAACACTAGTTATGCTTGTGCATTGACATCTTAGCTAGCAGGCATATTTTCGTACATTTATATTTATGAGGTACATAATTTTAATGATAAAGCCTGGTATGCAAAAAGGGAAATCAGGGTCTACCTCTATGCTGTAGATATTTAGTATCCCATTTTTTCCAAATAAAGGGAAATTTAACTTCAGTTATGCTGTTTATTATTCAACAACTTCATATCTTTCCAAATACCTTATAATATATAAATTATATTATTTCATATGGTAAAGCATCATAAAAAATCAATCGGGCACATGTAAATAACTTAGAAAAGATATTTTAATCTTGTTTACATAGTTAACTCTGACATATTACAGACAAGAAAATCAAGGAAGACATGTTATAAAATAGGACATTAAAGCTTGCATTGAATGGTCAGTAAGACTTTATGCTCATGTGGGAGGCTGAGTGCTGTCTCGGTTTCATTGAAAAATATGCAAATGTGCCTGCATGCATAATGAAAACATGACTACTGGGCCATTAAAGGTTCACCCAAAATGATAATTCTGTCATATGCTCACCCTCATGTCATTTCAAACCTGTATGACTTTCTGCAAAACACAAATTAATATATTTATAAGACTGCTGGTAACCAAACCATTGACTTTCCATCAAATGGAGAAATTTTTTTTTTCAAAAATGTCCTTTCATGTTCCACAGAACAAAGAAAGCCAGGTTTGGACTGACCTGAGGGTGAGTTAATTCATTTTCATTTCTGGGTAAACTGTCACTTTAAGTGGAAATGGCACACCTCACAAAAATGAGCAGGGATTCTTTCAAACAGATGCACAATGGCAATAGAACTCAATTGTACACTCTTAAACATAAACAGTAGAATCGTTCATTCATTCCGAGTAACTTAGGTAAATCAATTTAGGATGATTCTCCGTTTCAGTTTGTGTTCTGAATTTATAACAGGCCCATGGAATCTGTAATTGAAAATCTGCAGATTTACACAGAATTGGAACATTTGTCATCCACTTGGGTAATAAGAGTTTGGTGCTCTCAGCTCTGGTTAATAAATTTGACCATGTTTAAATCCATTCAGCAGAATTCCATATATTTTTTCCCACAAAATCAGCTATAAAATTCTGCAGATTCCACTGGGTCTGGTAATAGCCCAGTAGTAAGCTCAGAGGACACTTGAACACATTCAAGCTATTACAATCTTGCACTCTTTTTTTTAAGTGGCTGACTTCACAAGCAGGACTTTAAGTGGTTTATGAAGTAAGGAGGTTCTACAAGAGACCCACACACAGATAACAGTGCACGACTTAAAAAAAAATACTGTTGCAGTGGTGCTGTAAACACTACACGACTTCACACTCATAAGAGCCTTATAAAAGAGTGAATAAAAAAAACCAACAACATACAGAATACTGACATTTAAATGAGTAAAAAAAAAAAAAAGTATTAACAAATAAATCAATCTCAAATAAGCACAGGTTAACATGCTTTAGGCGCTTCATATGCAGTGGTGAGTAAAAGATGCTTACGTCAATGGAGTATAAAAATATAATACCGTTAGTAAATGTAATACTGTATATACTAATATACAGGGCCTAGCTGGCTGCTGCTTCAACAAGCAATAGGAAACGGGTCCTAGCCCTCTCTTTATTCTTCTGTCTTTCTTTTTCATGCTCAATATAATATATGAGAGATCATTCAAGCTATTACAATCTTGCACTCTTTTTTTTAAGTGGCTGACTTCACAAGCAGGACTTTAAGTGGTTTATGAAGTAAGGAGGTTCTACAAGAGACCCACACACAGATAACAGTGCACGACTTAAAAAAAATACTGTTGCAGTGGTGCTGTAAACACTACACGACTTCACACTCATAAGAGCCTTATAAAAGAGTGAATAAAAAAACCAACAACATACAGAATACTGACATTTAAATGAGTAAAAAAAAAAAAAAAAGTATTAACAAATAAATCAATCTCAAATAAGCACAGGTTAACATGCTTTAGGCGCTTCATATGCAGTGGTGAGTAAAAGATGCTTACGTCAATGGAGTATAAAAATATAATACCGTTAGTAAATGTAATACTGTATATACTAATATACAGGGCCTAGCTGGCTGCTGCTTCAACAAGCAATAGGAAACGGGTCCTAGCCCTCTCTTTATTCTTCTGTCTTTCTTTTTCATGCTCAATATAATATATGAGAGATTACAACCAAAAAAGAAATCCATCACAGTTTCGATATCTTTTTACTTTGGTCTCTGTTAAAATTAAGATTAATATGGTAAAGTCGGGGAAAGGGGGAAGACTAAGATCTGTGAACATTGCTTTCTATTACAGTTTATTGCGGCTTTGGAACAGTAACTAAAAACTAAATTAAGAACATATAAAATGGTGACTTTAAATATAAAACATAACATTCAATAGTAACAGAAATTATATATATATTGCATGTCCTTCTGTTTGACCAATATTTGATTGTCAAACCATCAGGTTCTTCAGTCGCTACTTTACGTCCACAATCTTTATTGCCAAAAACTGCATAATAGCAGGAGTTCGATATACTGTAATCTCTTCATATATTTTCCTTCATTAAATGGTGCTTTAACAAACCCTTTAAAATCAACGTGACAATAAATTGACTATATGTAATTAATTATTTTGAAGATAACTAAAGGTTCTCAAAATTCAAATTAGGCTACGCTAAATTGGGATTGATCCAGGTGGTTAATGGGTAGAGTGTTGGATATTTTGGTTTTAAAGGAATGTTTTGGGAACAGCTCAAGTGTCTTTTATCTAGCACACTATCTTCAGGCCTTCAATTCATATAGATGAGGCAGGCTAAAGTCCAGAGCTCTCAGCAGCAGCTAACAGCTGAAAGTCCAGTGGTACGGTAAACCCTCACATAAACACACACGCGCTGAGCTCAAACACACATAGAGAAATGAATCATTCACACACTGAGGCTGCAGAAGCTGCCGGGTTAGAGCAGAGTGCAGCGGAAGAAGCTTGGCTTCTTGGATCGACTCTCTGTGATTTTCACGGCTCCTCCTCCTCCTGAAGGGTTATTCTCATTCTAAACACAAAGATGCAAGCAAACAAGAAGCCATTTAGCATTAGTGTTACACTTAAAGCCACATTTTAAACTTTTTTTTAATAACTTGACTGTTAGTATCCCACAATAAAGACATTTAATTTGAGTTAGAGAGTAGTACTAAGCTTAACAATTTTCTTGGATAAGATTATAAGCATTTTCGACATGATCGTAACATGAACATTCTCACCATTTTTCTGTTTAATCTTGTCATGATGTCTCTAGCAAGAGTGACAAAGCCCTAGCATTGAAGAAAACAGACATGCCACTAGATTAGATCAATAAAAAAAATGCAAATCTTGCTCACTAAAATTTATTTAAATGGTTCAACATTAGATAATTAATACTTTCCAAAATAAGACTGATTTTAACCAGAAAATTGCCCTCACCTCTTCCACATTTGTGCTAGATTTTGCACTGGTTTCCAAGAACTTGATTCCATAATCAATAGCTAGCTGTAGAAAAAAGGGAAATGTTTAAATAAACACATCAGCATTTTTACATACTAGCTTGTTCTGGCTTGTTTCTGGACCAAGACGTGTTTAATAAAATAGATTATCAGTCATTTAAAAATTAATTTTAATGATACATACCTTTTCCCCTCTTTCTTTTGAAACTTGTCTCTTATCATTCATGTCACATTTGTTACCCAATATCATCCGTTCCACATCTGATGATGCATGCTGTTAAAACAGACAGAGGGACAATTAATCTCACTTTAAATGAAATTAAAACTTAATGCTTATTTTCTCCAGCATTAGGTCTACTTCTCACCTCCTCAATGTTCCTGATCCAGTTCTTGATGTTCTCAAATGATTTCTCATTTGTGATATCATACACCAGCATAATTCCCTGTGAAAATAGCAGAAAAGAAAAGCACAGCCTATGTAAAGTAACCATATGCAGAAGCATATCTAGCATTATTAACGCAAAAGAATAAAACATTATGTCTTACCATTGCTCCTCTATAATAAGCAGTGGTTATGGTTCTGAACCTCTCTTGTCCGGCTGTATCCCTTTATGACAAATTTAAAACACACTTTAAATATTGTTTGTACACGATTATAATTTATACCAGACATGCTCCAACATTTTACTACAAAAGGCCCAAAAATCAAACTTGACAATATTATAATAAAAGTTTCAAATCAAATTCAATAATATTGTACATATTTAAATGCAAAAGTAATATCATAAATGAGAAATTAAAATATGCTTCAATTGCACATTTCCCCCCCTTTTGTGATATGGCACAGTGGCCAAATCTTTCCCCTGGTTTGGGCATCTCTGCTTTATACAGTATCATGCAGACTTATACTCTCACCAGATCTGAAGCTTGATCTTCTTCCCATCCAGCTCAATTGTTCTGATTTTAAAGTCAATCCCTGCAATAATAATGTTTAGAAACAAGTGATGTGAAACACTTCATCTCAAAACCTAGTGATTGCACAACAGAAATCAGTCCTATCATGACTAGGGTTGGGTATCGAAAACCGGTTCCATTTTAGAACCGGTTCCAAATTTCCAAGAACCGGGTATTCGATAAGACGCGTGCATTTCGATTCTGCTTAACGATTCCTGCGTTCGCATTTTAATGTGACTAAAAACTATTTAAGTGCAGGAACGGAAAGAACTTGCGCCCTGTTTGCGTGCAGCGCACACGAAGCACAGAGAACAGAGGTCGCGGTACGGGTTCCCAGTTTGTGTCCGTTCTCGAACCGTTCCGTGTATTTCCACTGTAGAAAAGATTGCTCCGGGCCGAAACTGACTTCTTTCACATTTGTCGACCAATATGCAGAAAACTACGTCAGTATATCATCATAAACACAGCCGTTTTTGTCTTACGTGAACGTAAACAGATGAGAAAGAAAACACACAGTACAGTATTTTTAGATCTGCGTGCGTTCGGTGTTAAAGAGACAGCAGCCTAATAAACGCGCTGCCT